TGGGGAGTTTTAACAGCCCTGTTCCCGTAATGCAACAGGGAGAGCAAGGCCTCACATGGTCATAAGCAAACAACCAGAGGCCTGATCAACCTGTTACTACAACAAGGACTGGATGCAAACTGTTCCACCCAACCAAAAGAATCTCTCTCTCTCTCTCTCTCTCTCTCTCTCTCTCTCTCTCTCTCTCTCTCTCTCTCTCACACACACACACACACACACACACACACACACACACACACACACGGGAGGGGGGATTCTGTTGGTCCCTGCATAATCCTGAATCATTTCACATTCACTGAAATCTTGCCTATATACTGCTTCATTTGAGTGGTAGTGAATATTTTCAATATTTTCAAGGCAGGAAAAAGCAATGAAAACCATCTAACTCTTTTTTCTTTAAAAGACAGATGAACCACTACTAGCAACAATGCCTTATTCAGATTGCCCCAGTCCCAACATGTTCAGCCCTTGCAAAAGACAATACTGAGACTGATATTCTGGAAGATATATAGCTGCTGCCTCTAGACCAGTGGTTCTCAACCTTTTTAATGCCGCGACCCCAACCGGTCGTAAGTCGAGGACTAAACCGGTCGTAAGTCGAGGACTAAACCGGTCGTAAGTTGAGGACTAAACCGGTCATAAGTCGAGGACTAAACCGGTCGTAAGTCGAGGACTACCCAACCGGTTGTAAGTCGAGGACTTTCCCTGCCTGGGAGCGCCGCGCATGCGTGGTTCCACCCCCTGCGCCGGCCGAGGCGTACCTGGCAAGCGGCAGAGACGGAGCAGGCCGACCACCAGCTGGCCCAGCCCAAGGGAGGTAAGGCACCCGCCGGAAAAGGGGGGAAAAATGGCGGACAAAAAAAATGGTGGACAAAAAGAATGGCGGACAGCCTTGCTTGGTGACCCCTATGAAATGGTCGATCGACCCCAAATGGGGTCCCGACCCACAGGTTGAGAACCACTGCTCTAGACAATGCTTCTCAGGAAGTTTTATCCCTCCTCTCTCCTAAAATTAGCCTACTTGATAGGTAGGTTTGAAGCTTATTGGAAGAATGGATGGAAATATTTCATTGGCCTAATTTCATGCCCTGTTTTTCAACCCATTGAAGTAGCATACAATTGAAATCCTTAGAAAATACAGCTAGAACAGCAGCATGAAAAGTATATTACAATTAGTTATAAAACTAGATGCCACAGAATTGGGCTTGGCTCCTAGCAGTTGCATGGATAAATGCTTGGTACGCAATAAAATAGTATACAAAATTAGCAGGTTTTTTTTTTTAATCTAGACATTTACACGCCTG